AGACACCCCGCATCCTGGCGCGCAGCACGTCAACGGTTCCGCTGCCGCATCTGCTTCCCTTTTGCGATTGTTCGAATCGCGCGTCATCTTCTCGCGTTCCTCCGCGCATTTCCGACTAAACCGCACCTCCTCAGCGCGGTGTTTTTGTCCGTGTTTCCGAGTTCTCTGCCCAAGAGGCCTCCAAGAGGCCCCCCGAAAGGCCTCGACGAAACAAGAACTGCCACATCCCCGTCGGAAAACGCATGTTTTTAGCATGCTCGCCTTCTGGCCTTTCGCAGCGTGCAAGATGGCCCCAGAGCTCCCCACGAGAACTCCACGACGGGCCTCTAGGGCCCCGGGACGGCCACACAAAACAACAACACGGCCCACGAAGGCCCCAGGAAAAAGGCACCAGCAACGGGCCCAGAGGGTTGGCCCGAACGGACATGTCCACCTCTCGGCTCCAGGACGCCTCTGGGCAAAAACCCAAAAGGCACCAACAAGCACCCAGAGAACCCAACACCACGCCCCCAAGAACCCCCCAAGACGCCCCCACGAAGCCCAGCATTTGCCTCCAATATGTTCCTGAAAGACCCCCGACGAGACCCGACCAACCACCCAAGTAAACCTCGCACCCACATGCCACGCACGGTGGGGGGATAAACCGCACGCCAAACGATAATCATGCGCGCACGGCGAACATTGCGAATACCAGCCCCGGAAAATTCAACGATCCCAACGAGCATCCCACGGGTCTCTCACACTGCTTTGGTTCCCCGAGACCGTTCCGACGACACGCCGCGACGCACCCCTGAAACGGCGACGCAAAAACCAGGGAACCTGCGCAGGGTGTCGAGGTCCTGGGTGCACACATGCGTTGCGGAGTTGCTGGAATCGCCCCGAAGGCCACCGAACCCCTAGTTGAAACCCCAAGACAAGATCCTGACTCTTCTGCTTCTTTTTATTATTATTATTATTATTATTATTATTCGTCTCCTTCTTATTCGTATTCTTCTTATTGTGAATAGCCGCATTCATCTTACTATTTTTCTTATTATAATTTTTCTGATTATTTTTCGTATTCTTCGTCGTATTCATCCTCCTGCTCCTGCTCCTGTTCTTTTCTTCCTGCCTCTTCCTCCCCAGCCCCTTTTCCCTCCGCCCTCTCCCCCCGTTCCTCCTTCTGCACCTCCTCCTTATCAGTTTCCTCCTCTTCGTCGACGTCGCTCCACCCGCGCTCTCTCCCTTGATGGTCCTAATTCCAACCACGGCACGAACGCCCGAATCGACATCAGTTGCGCGCTTTGCACTCCAGGGTGCCATTTTTCACGTCGCGCGCGAGATTGTCAGGCCTCGCGGAGAACGCCGACTTCGGGATCTGTCTCTTGCACATGCCGTTGCGATGATACGCCTGCCAATTGCGCGCCGCGAAACCAGGGTCCTTGCAATAAGCGCAAATCACTTTCACTCTCATCGTCAGATGTTATGTCTCCTGCGCGCTACTGGTGTGGCCCTGCCGCGGAAGTTTCAGGCTGCGCGCCGCGCGCGTCAAATCTCGCCCCAACCGCTATGCCGCATCGGCTACATTTTTCGCGGGTTTGCCGCGTTTGCTGCAGTCCACGCGCAGGTTTCTTTCGCCGTCCGATGACCGATCCTTCACCGGGTTCTGGTTCAAATGACCCGTCTCAAAAAATCACCCCGCAACCTGGCGCACAACACGTTAACGGCTTCGTTTCCGCATCTGCTTTCCCGTTGATATTGTTTGCCTCTCGCGTCAATTTGTCCGCCTCCTCCGCGCATTTCCGGCACAGCCTTTCCCCTGCTGCGTTGTGCTTCTCTTGTGTTTCCGACATATCCGCCTTCTCTTCGAGAGGCGGCAGGCACGTGTCGTACGACCCCACCAAAAAAAACTAAGTCGCATCATGCTCCGTAAAACACATCAAAGACTTCCCGGAAGCACCGGAAACAAACATGGGAAACGAACTACAATCAAGGGGCCTGCGGATATGCCATACAGTAGGAGCTTGACCACATGGTACCTTCCACAAGAAGCCCAACCCTGAGAGCTCAGGACCTCCATTGATTTCTGATGGGGGAGCGTCCGCTTTCCATTGAAAAAAACAATCGGAATCCACGAAACCAAGGGTACCTTGGAGGCAAGCAGATGTTTCTTGGCATGGGTCTCCACTGTAGGATCACGTCCAGAGAAACAGCGATCGGGAACCAGGGGCCCGGCCTACCCTTGCCGATACGAGCGAGCGAAGGAAGAAGCAAAGCGAGCCCCATCAGACGCGCGCACATTCCGTCCCAGAAAGGCGCTGGCGTGGTAGGCGTCTTTGGGGCTCTCTATTCGGGCTATCCTGAAGGCCCCCGGGGCCGTCCTGGGCTGCCGGGGGCCTGGGGGCGTGATAATGCCAGAATGCTTCTAAACACTCGAAGAAAATCAACGGCCTTGCGCCTTCGGGGCGTCTTGGGGGCATCTGGGGACGGCTTGGGGACCTGTCGGCGGCCTCGGGGGTGGACTCCTGGGGTCGTCTTGGACGTGCGCGAGCGTGCCGCTCAGCAGCAACGTTCTAGAGCCAAAAACAATTTCGGCGGCATGGGGACGCCTCTTCTCTTACCAACAACATTCTCCACCGCGCGCGCGCTTCGCGCGTGCTTTGGTTCTAGCGAGGCCCAGCCATTCCGTTACTCGTATTTCTCATCCCCCCCCTTGCCAGGGCACTAACCCGAAGGCACCAACCGCCAGCGACGGCAAATCGCAGCAGGCAGAGCACGCGGGACTTGGGAGCGTCGACGGCGAAAAAAGCGTACGACGCCTGGGCTCGCATACCAAGGAAGGATGCGATGGGCCCGAGTCCGAATCGATGTTCCCCGAAGCCTCTCTGGGCGTATCGTGTAGAGCGTGTACATGAGGCCCCTGTGACGCTCAAAGGGGTCTTGAGGGAGGCCTCCAGCTCGGTATCGATGTCCCCAGAAACCGCTACGGAAACATCGTTGCGAGGGCCTCTTGGAAGCCTCAGGAGCCTTCAGC